TGCTGCAAAGACAGAAGCCATGTGCAGGGCCGGGGATTTAGCTCTGGTTCCACAGCCTGCCTTGCAAGCGCAAGGACCAGAGTTCGATCTCCGGTACCAAAAATAAAAACAAACAAACAAAAAAAGATTAATCAGAAGCCATGTGCAATGACTAAAGCATGAAAATGCTAAAATCCGGGACATACAAAATCTCTGCTAATCAATAAGAAATGACATTAAAGCTAACAAAAGTGGTCAAAAGTATGAGTAGGTGATTTACAGGAGAAGAAACTCAAAAGCTTGGCAAACGTATGTTTAAACTCATCAATAACCAGAGAAATGCAGAGTGAACCAATTCTGTCACTTTGCTTGATAAACTACCAAAGGTTAGAGGCAGGATCATGCCAAGTGTTGCTAAGCATGTGGCGAAAGAGCCTGAATGCATGATAGGCTGAGTTCACTTCTTGTGAGCCAACATTCCCAGCCTCAGTCTGAATGAGAACATTATAACTTTATTTTCAGGAGCAGAGAATTGGAGGCAAACTTGGTGCCCATTTCTAGCAGAGTAGATAAGTAGAACATAGAAGATACATTCTATGAAGTACTATGCAGCAGGTAAAAAGGATTGGCTCTCCTACATGGCAACATAGATGTTCTTACAAACCAAGTGCTATGTTAAGAAAGTAAGAAACAGTATCTACCTAAATTAAAAACTATACATACAAAATAACAGCACATAATTTTCATGATACACAGAAGAATATGATACACATTAAACACCTTAGAATGGGCTTTCTGATGACCCAATAACAAATACTGGTGGGGTTGTGGGGAAAAAGGAACACTTCTCCACTGTTGGTGGGAGTGTAGACTGGTGTATCCACTGTAGAAATCAGTGTGGAGATTCCTCAAAGAACTAAAACTAGAGGTTCCATTTGACTCAGCTATTCCCCTTCTTGGTATCTTCCTGGAAGAATTTAAAGCGTCACACACAGTGATATATACACACTCGTGTTTATAGCAGCAGTTTGTAATAGCTAAATCTTGGAAACAGCCCAAATGCCTATCAACCAATGAATGGGTAAAGAAGATGTGTTTTTTAAATTAATTTTATTGGTACATTTTAGGTATACAATATAATGACATTCACCATTGGAAATTTGCACCTGTACATAATCTCTCTTGGTTCTTATTTTTTCCCATTCCCCTGCCCTCCCTTCAACCCCTCCATCCTTCCTTATTTACACAGACTTTGTTTCTATTCTTTCATTTTAAGATGTGGGGTTTTTTTTCATACAATGGAGTACTATTCTGCCATAAAGAAGGATAAGCTTAAGACATTTCTAGCTAAATGGATGCACCTTGAGACCATACCTTTAAGTAAAACAAATCAGCCACATGTGTTTAAATACCACATTGTTTCTCTGGTATGAGAAACCAAAAGTGGAAATAAGGACCAAAATGTATAACAGATATTGGCAAATGGGAAGAAAATGGGAAATGAGGAGGAAATGTTCAAATGAGAAGGGGAACAAAGAAGAGGGGAGAAAGGAAAGAAAGGACAGGGAAAAATAGAAGGAAAATAATGGGAACAATGCTTTTGTAAATAAGGAGGGGAAGAAGGATGGGCGGGTGGGGAAAAAAAGAATAGACCTGGTTTGGTCATGATGCAGAAGCTGGGACCAACGCTGCCTTTCCACTGAAAACAGCTATGCAGCTAAACAAAGTAGGAGGCAACTGCTTGCAGGTCTGTGGCAACAGGAAGCAGGGGTGTTATCCGTGAGGAAACGGAAGTGCATGGAGCAAGTTCCTTGGCGACCCGAGTCTTGGCCCAGGGAGGCTCCCCTGCTGTGGTGCGGCAGACAGGGCCCGGGCAGAGCCGCGGAGACGCCCTCTGGTCCTCAGGCGCTGAGGAGGCCGAGGTTTCCAGACCAGGGCCCGGGAGGGAGCCGCTGTACAGAGGCGGGGCTCCCACGTCTCCACAGGGACTTCCTGCCGGGTCCTGGGCTGTCCTGAGGAGGACAGTGAGACTCGGGCGGGCCGCTGAGGAGCTGAGGGCTGAGCGGAGGGGCCCGGTCGGCCGGCACTGGGAGGGAACTAAGGTTCCCTGACGGAAAAAGCCGTGCCCCAGAGTAGCAGTTCTCTACTTCAGCGTGTGTCAGGGGACCTTAAAGGGCTTGTTAATGGAGTTTCTACTTCAGTAGTTCCGAGGAAGTCCTGAGAATTTTACTTATTTATTTATTAGCCTTTCTTTCTTTCTTTCTTTCTTTCTTTCTTTCTTTCTTTCTTTCTTTCTTTCTTTCTTTCTTTCTTTCTTTCTTTCTTTCTTTTCTTTCTTTCTTTCTTTCTTTCTTTCTTTCTTTCTTTCTCTTCCTTCCTTCCTTCCTTTCTTTCTTTCTCTCTCTCTCTTTCCTTCTTTCTCCTTCCTTCCTTCCTTCCTTCCTTCCTCCCTTCCTTCCTTCCTGTTTTTTGGACTCAGGATCTTGCTGTGTAGTTCAGGCTGGCCTTGAGCTCACTATATAGCCCAGGCTGTCCTCAAACTCATAACGATCCTCTTGCCTCAGCCTCTCCAGTGCTGGGATGACAGGTGGGAGCCACTAGGCCCAGCAAGAATTTGTATTTTTAACAAGTTCCCAGTGTTGAGGACCACAGCGTTAAAAGACAAACCCTAGAACTGAAGTCAAAATGGAAATAGACACAACCCAACGGAGAGCCCAACTAAGTCCACCAGGGCCACCAGGACACCCTGATGACTTCACAGGCCCCCCGAGGGTCACGCTTAATACTTCCTACAAGAAGACAAACTAACAGGCTTCCTGCAAGGCCTCAGCCATAGCACTGCGGATGTGAGAAGCAGTTGAGGTGAAAACGTGGGAGAACCTGACCCTAACCTTTTTTTAAAAAAGTCAGTAAGGACCCCAGGAGGACTGGGAAGTTAGAATTACCAGGTAAGGACTTTAAATCAACTATGAGGAGCAAGAATTTAAAGGAATAAACGGTTTTGAGAGGAGATCAGAGGTGAAATGTCAGTGGTGAGGTGGAAACCACATGAAAGAGACAAAGGAAAATTCTAGAGATGGTCAGCTCAGCATCCAAAGTAATTCATCAATGATCTGATTGGAAGGCACACTATGGGCGCTGGAAGACAGGTTGGCAAATTTGAGTACCAATTACTGGAAGGTATCTTATGTTAATAGAAAGGAAAACTCATTTAAAAAGGGAGATGTGAAATAATATTAATCACTTTAACAAAGGTGTAACAGGAATCTCTGAACATGAAGAAAGAGAGAATTTGTCATTTAAAAAAAAAGTCTTTGAAGAGCTACTCGGTCCACATTTCCCAAATTAGGGAAAAAGCAACTTAAAAATCCAGTAAATTTTGTCCAGTAACTCTACAGATGATGAACATAAATAAAGCCAAAAAATGCTAAGAATAAAGGATAAGGACAATATTAAAAGTAGGCAGAGGAAAATGTACACACTTCCTCCTAGGTAACAGTGGCACAATCACTGCTAACTTCCTCGAGAGCACGGCATCCAGGTGGTGACAGAATGTGGGCTTCAGAGTGCTCAAGGGAAGAGCTGCCAGTGCCCTGCGAGACAGACAAAATCCCTCAACAACAAGGAGAAATAAAGTTATTTTCAAAATAAACGAAGCCACCATATTCTTTGACACCTGAGCTTTACTCCAGACTCGTTCAAAGAAGTTATTCAGGCTGAAGCAAATTGGCCTTAGTAGCATAACCTGAATCTAATCACCAGGAAACACTAGTGACTCCACATTGAGGAACTGTTTGCCAGGTGACTGTAGTGTTCATAGATGTCGACATCATAAACACAAGCTTCAGGAATTTCTCTTACTTGAAAGAGAACAAAGGTAAATGTGATTCTGGATCCAGGGATTTGCAAGGACATTCTTTGCAAAGGGAGCAAAATTGGGAAAGGGTTGTAGGTGACCTGGTAATGTTGCATCAAGTGCTATCTGGTTGTGTGGGAGAATATTCTTGGGGCTGGTAAAAGTGTTCTGAAGCACCAAAAGTAACAGGTGACAGGGAGTCATGGTTGTAACTTGCTTTCAAACCTATCTATCTATTTATCTATCTATCATCTATTTATCTGTCTCTCCATCCATCCATCCTTGCATTCCTTCTCCCTCCCTCTCTCTCGCATCTATTCACCTACTTACTTATCTCTCCATCCATCCATCCATCCATCCACTCACCCATCCATCCTTCCATCCTCTCTCTCTCTCTCTGTCCCCACCCCCACCCTGTCTGTCTCTGAAAGAACAGTGAACTGAAGGCCCAGGTGGCAGAATGTTGATGCTGAAGGGCTGGGAGTTGTCCGTGCTATCCCAGCACAGCCTTTCTGAAGGATGGAGTGGGAAAGAAACAGAAGGAGCAACATCAGTGAGGCTGGCGCTGTGGCCCAGAAGCCGGGGATCCTGGAGGAGAGGGCAGGCAGGTGAGGAAGAGCGGGGTGTCCAGGCTGAATGGAGGAGGCACTGGCAGGTGGAAGGCAGATGGCCGTCAGCTAAAGCTGGAAAAAGACTGCCCGTTTCTTTTGCTTTGTTTCACTTGATCCTCAGAGCCTCCTCAGGAGGTGAGTGCTAGTCTGCCCATCCCTGCCTCAAAAGATGAGGAGACAGGAGGCTGGGCTCATCCACTCAGGCAGCCTCTGCCTAGTGCTTGCTGTACAGCTCCAGTGCACAAAAAGGAGAGAGCCTGGCCTGAGTGTCTGTCACAGGTGACGTCCTTTGGTTGGGCTGCTGTCCTGGTACCACCCCTCTGGCCACGCTAACTGGTCCCTGCACATGTCCACCCTAAGGGGCTGGGAACTGTCCTCGCTGGGGACAAGCGCCCCCACCATGCCAGTAGCTCACTGCGCATGCGCAGCCCAGCCCCGCCATTGTGGATTAACTTGCTCCTTGGAAATGGAGATTAACTTTCCAGCAGTAACGGGGTCCCTGGGAGAGTAATTTAGGGAGCATCTCTGCTCTGTTCAATATGGACACCAAAAGCAGTGCTTTGAAATGATTTATTGACCTGAGAAAGCGGCCGCAACATACTGCTCATTAAATACAGCAGCAGAACCATGAGCACCACCAAAGACCGCCTCGGCTCCAATCCCGAGTACACACAGAATTAAAAACACGGTGAAAACACTTCCAAATGCACAGTGGTTGTTCGGGCAATAAGGTGATGGATGACTTCAATGCTTGTTTTCTTTCTTCTTGGTGTCTTTGGGCTTTGCTAAAAACAATTTTTAAAGAAATACGCATGTGAGGGGAAGCGGACAAAGAATGATAAGCAGGGACCTTGCTTGGAGCTGAGGAGTGGAGAGCTTTGGTAAACCTGCTCCTTCTAGCTCAGTGCCTCTCAGTTCAGGACAGAGTCCGTCTACCCACCTGTGGGCAGGCACCTCCAGAGTCCACCCTTCTCCCCTTCCTTTCACTGCCAGGAGCTCATCCCCAGCCCTGCAGGTCACATGCTGGCTCTAGGACTCTGCAGGGCATCACCCGTGGAAATCACCATTTCCAAGCTCATCGGGGCTGCTGCAGGGTGTTTTTTGGGTTTTTTTTTGTTTTTGCAAATCCCAGTGTTCACACACTGGGCATCGTGTTTGGACCCCAGCCCTTTCCTGGAGCCTGCAGTCTCAGCCTCTGGAATGTCCCATGTCACCCACTTGTCCCTTCTCCACCGGGGGAGGAGTCACAGCAAGACTGAAGCCCCAGGTGACTCAGCCTAGACCACCTTTGAGTGGCCTCTGTCCCAAAGGTACAATTCCACACTGTGTGGGGTGTCAGGGTTGGGTGGGGACAGCCATGCCACCTCTACTTCTCCCTGCCTTGCTGGCCGGCCTGGCAGGCCACTCCCACTGGAACCTGCATGGGCCTCCAGAGGTCCAAGTCAGAGCACGCCAGAGAGCTCGTGCTCAGCAGTGGATGGAGACACGGAGCTGGCCCTCTCCAGCCGGTCCACGGTGAGGAAGGGTAAGCACTTGGACAGGTGCCCGGCTGCAAGCCTCCGGAACAGCTGGCGCAGGTGCCTCCGGAATCTCTCGCCCACGAAGACGTAGATGATGGGGTTGACGCAGCAGTGGGTGTAGGCGATCACCTCTGTGACCTGCAGGGCCAGGTCCAGCTGTCTGCTCTGCTCACAGTAGTTGGTGAACATGTGCTCCTGGAAAGCAGAAACAAACATAGCCAGGTTGTATGGGGTCCAGAAGAAGAAGAAGATGATCATGATGACAAAGATCAGCCGGACAGCTTTGGCTTTCTTTTCGTTGGGCCGGTGGAGCAGAATCCTGATGATGCCTGTGTAGCAGACCACCATGACCAGCAGCGGCAGGATGAGCCCCAGCAGGTTCAGCTTCAGAGCCTGAAAGCGCTGCCAGGCCCGCAGGCTCTGGTAGGGGTAATGAAGGCTGCAGGTGTGGCGTGTGGCCTCCCACTGGGTCTTAGAAAAGTACAAGCCAGGGACAGAAGCCAAGATGGCCAAGATCCAGGTTATGACACTGGTGATGATGCCGAAGGTGACGGTCCGGGCTTGAAGGGCGAACACGGCATGGACAATGGCAAGGTACCTGTCGATGGTCAGCAGGATGATGAAGAAGATCTCGCTGTACAAGCCCAGGTAGTAGAGGCCAGACAGGAGCTTACACATGGCATTGCCAAAGACCCAGCTGTCCTTCAGCTTGTAGTCGATCCAGAAGGGCAGTGTGAAGAGGAAGAGCAGGTCAGAGAGGGCCAGGTTGAGCAGGTAGATGCTGGTCATGCTTTGGAGCCTCTTGTACTTCATGAGGACCAGGACCACCAGGACGTTGCCCACCACACCGATGATGAACACCAGGGAGTACAGGGGTGGCAGCAGCTGGGCTCCGAAGGCCCTCACAGCCACCTTCTGGCATGGGGTTGTATCCCCGTAGTCATATTCAGTGGTCAGGCCATAGTCCTCTGTGGAGGCCGGGCTCTCCATCCTGGCCTGCCTGTGGACCAAGGATAATGGTTTCTGTTATTCACTTTTCTATCAAGGGCCCAGAGATCTGGGCAGTGAGGACAAGGCTGTGGTTATATTCCTTTCACCACTTAACGAATGTTTACCAAGGGCCCATCGTCTACTGTGCCCTGGGGAAAAATGGCGAGCCAGGAGGGAGACCCAGGTCCTCACTGCCCTGGGACCCTCCAGTCCAACCGGAAGGGCAGTGATAAACAAATCATGAACCAGTTACTTCAGCCTTGAGTTTAAACAGGACAACCTCAGGGGCTGACAGCACAGAGTGGCAGATCTTCCCATGGTGCCATGGTCAAGGCTTCCTACACACGTCCTAGGCCAAGGCTCCAGACTGAGTGTTCAGTGACCCTTGTGGCCTTCTTGTTCCGGTATAGAGGGGACGACACGGAGGTGGCAAATGTTAGGAAATGCGCCCAGAGACACAGCTCTGGGGAGCAGGAGCACTGGTGCTCAGACCCTGGGCGGGTCCCTCTGGTGCCCAGCCCAGACCCCAACGGCTCTCTTGCCTCTGACCGAAGCGTGGCAGCGTTGTCTCCCAGAGTCCCCGGGAGGACTCTGGGAAGGAAGCTGTCCTGGCTGTGGGGCGTAAACTTACAAACAGAGCTTCACAGCTTCTGGACCTACAGAGGCCAGAGATGTCCTGTCATGTGACGCTCATTCAGTCCAAACCCCAGTGCTGCCACAGTGAGACACTGGGGGTGAACCCTATTACTTTGTGGGTCCACAGGTAACTGTGGACCTGCTGTGCCTGCCGTGGGAGGGCTCAGAGGGAAGCCCGGCTGTGTGTGTGTACACGCAGGCGTGTAAAGCTCAGAAAAGCCTTCACCATGAGGCAACCTCACAGTGACCAGAGAGAAGCTGGGGTTCTGCTGAAGTAGTGCTTAGATATTTTTACCCAGCAGTGCCTTGAAACAAACCAAAAGGCACCGATAGACAGCTTGGCTGCCGAGTGCCTCTCCCGCCCCCCACTTTCTAATTTTTTTTTTTTTTGGTACCAGGGATTGAACTTGGGTCCTTGCGCTTGTGAGGCAGGCAGCGGAACCACTGAGCTAACTGGTCCCGTGCTTCCCACTTTCTAGCATAGCTCTGAAATCCTTTCCCAACTGCCTGTTGAAGATGCCACCCCAAACAGAGTGAGGCTCTGTTGTTATCGACCGGCTGTGTGACCTCGGATAAATGAATCCACTCTCTGAACCTCAGTCCCTCAAGCAGATGAGAAAGTGACCGCCACCTGGCAGGAGCTCCCCGATCCCTTCTGGACATTCCCCTCCCTGCAGTGGCCCTGCTCTGGGGCTGTCACACCAGGACATCCCAGGCTCTGACTCGCCCTGGTGGATGTCCCTCGTCCCCTGAAGGTCTGCTCAGGCTCTAGGCTGATTGTCCAGATAGTGCTGTTTCTGAGCAGAGATGGACCGTGACAGTCCCTCCCATGTGAGTGATGGTTAGAAATTTCTGAAAAGCTGATTTTGGAGAAGCAGAAAACAGAATGGTGATTTCCAGAGTCCGGGAGGACTAGGGGTCGGGCAGGGGAGAGCGGATGGCGAACCAGTACAGGGGTGGTGGGTCGTGGGAGAAGTGACTCTGAACGCCATGTGGCACAGGGCAATGACACCTATGGTTGACAATAACCATGTGTTTGAATAGTTCCTAGGGAGGATTTTGGATGCTCCTAGCCCAAGGAGATGATGAACGCCTGAGGTGATAGATTACACATTGTACAGATGCATGGAACTATCACACCGTAGCCCATAAATAGGCATCTGTGTGTTGACTGAAATGTTTGCACCTTGGAAAATGAGTAAATAAAAATAAATGGGGTTTTCATTATGGCCATCAGGAGGAAATGCCTGGACCCAGCTGCCAGTCATTAACCTGTCAGGAGCCTGGCTGTCCTGGGCTCCTCCTTCTACTCCCCTCAGTGAGTTTTCCTGCTTGTGAAGGCCACATGTCCATCTCAGCCAGGGAAAACTAAGGCAGGTGGTGGTGGTGGCGGGCGCCCTGGTCAGAAGGGGAGAGACTCAGGGCAGGAGGCAGGGAGGCCTTTGTTTCCCATCTGATCCATCCCCAGGGCTCCTCTACTCCCCCTGATCCGTGCTGGTTCTGAGATGCCCAGGCATCACCCAAAGAGCCATGATTTCTGCCCTCCACTGCCCCTTCAGGTGTCGGCGAGGCAGGCGGCTCAGGCTGGCACTCAGCACTTTGGGGTGGGCTGGCCAGGCTGTGCCCAGGAGCCACATTCTGGGCAATGCTGCAAAAGTGAAGGGAAGCTGAGTCACTGCTGCCAGCTGACCCGGCCCCCACTCTAGTTGCTGTTTCCCTACACTCCCAGGCCCCGTGATAACTCAGGTCAGCTGCTCTGGGCACACTGACCTGGGGAGGGGACCTGCAGGACAACCCAAGGAGCCTGGTGCCATGGTACCTGCCCCAAGGTCACTGCACAGAGGTCAGCTGTCCTGAAGCCTGGAGCTGTGCGGCCCTTGTGTCCTCAGCCCAAGAGTCGGCAAAGCCCTGAGCACAGACAGGGTGGTCCGTGATGCTGAAAGCCACCTGGTCTTCTCAGGAAATTGGCTCAGTATCAGAGCCCCCATGTATCTGCAGTGGTTTTTCTAGTGTTTTCCTCTTGCTACAGCATATTTGGTTTTCCTTTACAGAGGGAAATGTGGCAAGTAATTTGTTTTTAAATAACTTCCTATGAAAGTCATTTCCTATCTCTTCAGAGTAGCTGGCTTTCTTTCTTTCTTTCTTTCTTTTTTGGTACCGGGGATCAAACTCGGGACCTTGTGCTTGCAAGGCAGGTGCCGGAACTACTGAGCTAAATCCCCAGCCCAAGCTGGCTTTCTTAATCAGTCCCCAACAAGAAATTACATAAGAAAGTTTCCTTTTAGCATGGCATGGTGGCACACACATGCAATCCTAGCACTCTGGGAGGCTGAGGCAGGAGGATCACGAGTTTGAGCCTAGCCTTAGTAATGCAGCAAAACCTTGTCTCAAAAAAAAAGCTGGGTGGCCAGGGATTTAGCTCAGTGGTGCCACCACCTGCCTTCCTCACAAGCAAAAGGTCCTGAGTTCGATCCCCAGTACCAAGAAAAGAGAACATGCTGGGGATGTGGCTCAGTGGAAAGGCCCTGGGTTTGATCTCCAGGGCCTGCACACCCTCAGAGTGCTTTGCACCTGCACCCCAGCCTTGTAAATCCGCCTAGTGCTCCCGGGACTGCTACTACTCAATGCCTTGCAGCTACGCCTCAGTACCGTCTGTCCATACTGCCTGATACTAGCTCTTTTAAAGACGCACCTGAGGGCTACCCAGACACCAGCCTGGCCCCTGGAGCAGTCCCCACCTCTGAGGAGCCCCGAGCAGCCCATGTATTAAGCAGGGTCACCCTTAACAGGAAGCAACAGCACAGAAAAGCCCAGTAGCACTTACCCTAGCTCCACAGCGTTTTGTCCAGAGAGCCTCTTGGCGTCTTATGTGCTGAAGGTTCAGGTCTTGCCTGAGTACGAAGCTCGGCTTCCGGTCAGATGATGGAGATAAGGCTCTGCTGTTACTAGCCGTCAGAATGCCAAGAAGCAGGTAGGTTCTTCTTTTTCTATGCTTGGGCGCTCCTGGATGGCTACGCCGCCGGCCCTGCGTCTGGGTTCCCAGCAGGGACTTTCTGTGTTCCGTGGCTGTGGGCTCAGTGGAACAGGGAGGGTGGTGCTGGGTGAATTTGGGTTGGGTGAGGAGGTGACAGCTGTTCCCAGAACCTGTGGAGCAATTGGACAGAGTCATCGTGGGGCGGGGAGGGCCAAGGGTTCTTGTGGTCAGCAGGAGGCTTTATTTTTAAGATTGTAGATGCAAGGATTTAAACCCCTCGTCTGTTCCTCAAAACCATCTGACCGGTAAATGGGGCCCAAGAGAGGCAGCTGCTTCCTCCAGGGGCCTCACCCACTCACCCCCAACCGCTCCCTGGTCCTACAGATCCCAGGGCAGCATCCCCTGGAGGGACCTGGATCCAGGGAGGGCTGCAGGGCTAGGGGTTGACTCTAGCCTTCCCTTTCTGACTCCCAACCCTGTTTTATGCAAGGGTCAAACATGGGCCAAGTTCAAACCTCAACTGGTCCCTAGAACTCAGTTCCCTCTCTGCAAAATGAGGCTACTGAGGACTGATGCTCCCAGGAAGAGCATGAGGTCACCTGGTGCCTGGAAAATATCAGTTCGCCCGGAGTGATGTGGCACACCAGAGGCTGAGGCAGGAGAATTGCTGCAAGTTCAAGGCCAGCCTGGGCTACACAGTGAGTTTGAGGCCAACCTGAACTATACAGTAAGATCCTGTCTCAAAAATAAATACTCCTCCCTAAAAAAGGAAAAGAAAAACATCAGATCTAAGCTGCTTATGGCTCTCCCTGCAGGCACTGAAACCGGCTGTACTGCTGGGCTTGCCTGTAACCTTGCTCACAGGAACCAGCATCTCAGAAACTGATAGAGCAGAGACCCCCACAGGGGAAGGACCAGGTGACTCCTGGCCCTCAGCCCATTGCTTGTTAGGACTGAGATTTGCATTTTCCCCTAAGGCGGTCACGGATTTAAAAGCAGTTTTTGCTAAAAACCCTGACTCTTCCCTTTGACCTACAAATGCCCAATAGATAAATAAAAGTAGAACAAAGCTTGCCTCTCATTTTGTAGCCTTTGTACTATAAATCTTCAGGTCGAATTCCTTCTCAGCTCTGCATCTTGACCACTGAGGGAGCTCATCTAAAACTTGCCAAAACAAGGTTGATTAGCCCTAAATCTACATGATGATGTCCCTCCCTTTTAAGACTGAGGACATCAAGATAAGGGATTTACAGGGTTATTTCTATTTTATATATTTGTTTTCTATTCTTTTTATTCCATTAGGTTTACTGGTACATTTTAGGTATACATTATGATGACATTCATCATTGGGAATTTGTACCTGTGCATGATGTATCTTGGTTCTTGTTTTTCCCCCATTCCCCTTCTTGCCCTTCTGCCCCTTCACCCACCAAAGGGCCTTGCATTGAGGCTTGGTCCTCAGCTGATGCTGCTGGGGTTGCAGAACCTCAGGAGGTGGGGCCTAGGGAGAGGAAGTCAGGTCACTGGGGGCATGATCTTGAGAGGATGCTGGGACTCCCAATGATCTCATTTCCTCTCCCTAGGCCCTATGCCCTGCTTCTCTGTTGTTTTGCTTCCACACTGCCCTGAAGGGACTGACTTCCCTCCACACATCCCCTGCCATGGTGAATGCCTCACCACAGGCCTTAAAGTGACAGGGCTAATCCATCAAGGACTGAAACTTCTGAAACCATGAGCCAAAATAAAGCCTTTCTCCTCAGGAGTTGATCATCTCAGGCATTTTCTCCCAGTGGTGGGAAGCTGACTAATCCATCTTCCACATTGCATTTGTCACTGAAGGTCACACACAGGGATGGGCATTCTGGTATGGCTGTGGGTCCTGATGTTGTGGGAACCATGAGCATCATTCATGGAGGTGGTGCCTGAAGATTCCAGCCCAGCTGGGCATGGCGGTGCAGGCCTGTAATCCCAGCATTTGGGAGGCTGAGGCAGGAGAGTCTCTGTGAGTTCAAGAGCAACTAGGCTACATAGTGAGTTCAAGGCCAGTCTAGACTACAGAGTGAGACCCTGTATCAGAAAAAGAAAGAAAGAAAGAAAAATTGATTCCCACCCTGAGCCTGCCGGAGACTCTGGCTCCTTGGAGTGGTCCTCCTCTGCCCTCCACCCCACCCCACATGCTGGCCTCTGTGTCTTGCACTTCGTCCCTGACATCTGATGGTGACTAAGCTCTGTGCTGCTCCTCCCTCCTGACTCAGCCTCAGTCTCCCAGAACCTCATGCTCTTAACCAAGGCGGGGCGGGGCCCAAGTGCCTCAGCTTCACGTGGCCTGCATGTCAGAGGCCAACTTTGCAGGTTCAACTCTTCATTTCCAAGAGCGAGACAGGGGTGCCGTGGTGGGTCCTGGGGTGCAGAGTTTGTCTATGCAACAAAAGACGTCACTTCACGTCCAGGGCACCAGAGTCAGATTAGCAGGTGACTCGCAGACGGCAGGGGCTTTGGAAGGAAAGGTTGCCTACCCACCCTTCCACACCACCTCGCCCTTCTGCCCCTCCCTGGCCCTGCATTTTCCTCCCCAGCCTCTCTTTCCAGAGCTCCACTTCACCCCATATTCCTTCTACCCAGGTGGTCATTTCCCCCTAAGCTCTGCCTGTCCCTGCCTGCTTGGCCTCTGGAGTCCCCCAGACTCGGTCACCCCAGCATTCTGCAAACGCTGCCCTGACAAGCCCAGGGGAGAGGACTAGAGTCCTTTGTGACCTACCCTCTTGGTTCTTCTCTGCTGGACACTGGGAGGTCAGCCCTGCGTGGAGGCGGCTGTTGGACACATCCGAGTCAGGCCCTCTCGTCCTTCCTGTTTCTCACAGCTGAAAGTCTCCAATAAGCACAAGAGTGGTAGCTCGGAGATTTTTAAACCATTTTGACGTGGGGAAATAGCTTTGTGGAGACCTCATGGTACAGGTGGGATGCTCGATAACCAACAAGGCAATTGGCTCAAAACACATGAGAAAAGAAACAAGAATCCGTTATATTTTTTTCTCAAAAACCTAGATATTGGCTGTGGTTTGACATTACTGTCTAGCATTCTCTTATACTTGGTGATTTCATTTCCTAAACGTGCCTGTTTGTCTTTGTAGCCTAACAAGTTTAAACTCTAAGAGGCTCAAAACCACAATGACAGTGAGACTCTGTGGGTTGGATGTTGGTCCCAAGCGGAAACACTCCCATCTGCTGGTTGAATCTGGGGTGTAGGGCGGTCCCCAAGTGTCCTCTAGGTGGCAGCTCGGCCTCTAGTGAACCAGACGGGCTTCTTGCACGGGGGTCACCGGCCAGTGTTATAAAAGCCAAAGCAGAAGCTGCAGAGCGTCTTCAATCATGACCTCAGCAATTACTATCATGTCTGCTGCATTCTGCCACCTATGGCAAGTCAAAAGCAAGCCGTATTCAGGGAATCAGAAAATAAAAGCTACTTTTTTAGGAGGGGCTAAAAAACCACACTGTAAAAGGCTGTGTGTACCAGGAGGGGAGGAATCTGAGGCTGAGTCTTACACTCTACCCCAGTGCACAGGCTCCTTCTAGTTCCCCAGCCAAAGAGCTCCTCAACCTGCTTTTACACTTCCTTTCCCGGGACCGGAATTCCTGGATCTCTCTATCACCAGTGTCTGTGGCTCTTCATAGCCTGTTCCTGGCACCCCCACTTCTGAGCCTCACGGATCACTGTCTCTAGCACCCCTTCTCCCCCAGTGCTCTATGACCCTCGCTGGGCCTGCAACCCTTGGACACTTCAATTTTCCATTGACCTTCAGCTCCTCACACCTTTGGATCCCATCGTCTAACGATCCGCGGGTCACCATCACAGTCCATCCCTCACACACCCTCAACTCCTTCACGCTTTTCTGACCTTGTCACATCCGTGGGTGAGACCCGAGTCTTGGGTAGCTCCCATGTCCCTGCACCCCTGGACTTGAACTCAGCCGGCGAGCATCACACAACTGTTCTGAGGGGTAAGGGTCACTCTTAGTGCACGGTGGGGTATGCCAAGGGTCTTGCGTGTCCACCGCCTGCACTCCCTCTAAGACATTATCTCACATCTCCTGCCTCTTCCCTAAGCATCAACACCAGCTCTGCCATCTTCTCAGTCTTACCTGAGACGTGGTTTCCTCTACCACGGAGAAAACAGAAGCCAAGCTACCAGAGCCGCTCTGCCTGTCCTTCCTGTCCCTTCTGTCCCGCCTTGGCCCCTTTCATGGACGGATTCTCCATGCTCCATCTAGATCCTCCTCTAGATCCTTCGCACAAGACCCTGACCTGTCTCCCACTCAAGGACTCTGCTCTCGAATTTCTCCCCCACCGGGCCGTCTTCCTGCTCCACTGGGCTGACGTGTGCACACACTGCCTTCTGGTGTGGCAAGCAGTCACCTTTGATTCCACCTCCCTCTCTCACTCCTGCTCATGTCCTCAGTCTTCTTCCCGACAGTTTCACCTGCACCCACGTCCATGGCTCCCGTCCCCTGGGGAGCCCGTTCTCCACACAATCCTGTCCTCACCACTCTGCTGAAACGGCTCCTGCCACGGTCACAGTCACAGTGAATCCAGAGTCAGAACCCCTTTCCTGTCTACACTCGCTCCTTCCCCCTCACCGCACCACGTCGTCACGCTGGAGCAGAAGCAGCCCTCGAGGCCATCTCCCCGCCGTCTGCCGCCTGCCTCCACCCCAAGCTCACACCCAACACTCTTCACCTGGGCTCCCGATGCCCCAGGCTCTCCTGCCTTGGCTGTCCGCCCCCAGAGGTAAACACCAGCTCCTCTTTCCACCGCTCTTACCAAACTCTTAGACTTGGACTTGGCTCTTTCAGATCTGACACATAACCTCTTTGCAAAATCTGTTTGTCCCATCTTTGAATTACAAAGACTCCAATTCCTTCTCACCACATCTCCTGCCCCCACCTCGTCCATTCCCAACACAGAAAGCAGAGTGACCCCTGCTTGCAGCCAGGCGGCCCTCTGCCAAGCCTTATACGGCCCACAAGTAGGTGTGGCCACTGGAGGACACCCCCACGCTGACCGAGTCTTCATAGTCCTCCCCTTTGCTCACTGTTGCAGCTGCATCAGCCTGAGGGATGTCCTCTACTGGGGACCTCCATGGGGGGGTGGTCCTTGCCCCAGATGCTTGTGGAGACTGCAGCTCACTTCCTTCATCTCTAAGG